TGAAGAATATTGGATACCTTCGCAATTTTGTGAGAAGCTGTTTTGGGGGCAAGATAAGCCAATCCAATAATATTGATCATCTTCGCGAAATATATAAAGAAAACAGGAACTGAAACCCCGTGAATAATTGCGCCAATTGATCCCAAAATCATTAACACACAGTCGTAAAAATCTGCAAATGTAAATAGTTTTAGCAACGAAACTCTATTCGACTTCTTCTCTTCTTCTTTCTTTTCCTTAGTAATCTTATCATCATCCTGGTTACTTAGTGCTCTCATTTTGGCCAAAACTTGTACTCAAACAAAACAACAAGAAGAAGAAGAATGAACTAGAATAGAATATGAGAGAAAGAATAATGGACGGCCACCGTCCATTAAGTGTGGACTGCCGTCCATACAATAAGGGACGGGCATCCATTTGGTTATGAATGCCCGTCCAAACTTAAGGGACGCCCATCCACAATTTATGGACGGGCGTCCAAATTTTTTATTTTATTTTTTAAACCAAATTAAGTTTGGAAGGGCGTCCATTCCTTACGGATGCCCATCCAAACTTAATAGACGTCCAAAATGAAGGGACAACCATCCACAACTTATGAATAGTAATCCTTAATTTTTATAAGAATTTTTTATTCTATTTTACTAATGGACGGGCGTCCTTTAAATGGGGACGCCCGTCCGTAGTAAATGAACCCTCGTCCATATAATATAGACGGGAGTCCATGTCAGTGAACGGCCGCCCATATTTGATAGACAGCCGTTCACTAGAAAAATATTTATTGTTTAATCACGCAACTAAATTGCTGGTGTGAGTCAAGGGACACGTTGGCTGGTACACATTTTTGGTGCAAACACCCCGGTGTTCGTAGCTTTATTGTTATTTCATGTACTCTTTGTGGGATTGTTTAATATGAAATATATCAAAGCTTTTTAAAAACCATAAAAAAATAAATAAAAAAATAAAAAAACCTATAATTATTAAGAGCAATGTTGTGCTTACAATTGAGTTGTACAACTAAATCATACAAACAAACAAAAAACAAAGGACAAAATAGTCATTTTACATAAATTTTGTGCAATTTTTGTCTGTTTGTATGACTTAATTGTATGACTCAATTATAAGCAAAATATTATTGAATTATTATATACTCCTCTTAAGTTATTAAAAATCCCCATGTGTGAAGGGGTTTTCAATAATTATAAAAAAGATTTTTAGTAATTTTCAAAAACTTTAACTGCATTTGAGATTAGACCATTTCTTTAAAACAGTATAAAGAATAATAGTATAATTCCTCTCCCTCGATCTCTAAATACATACATATATTATGCAACTTTGTATGTATTTTTATATTATGTGAGTTTATCATTATTTTATTTTCTATTTGTTTCATTAAATTGTTATCCATCTTCATTATTATTATTATTATTATTTTTTCAATTCTACAACTTTTAAATTGACATAAAGTAGAGTTAAGTTTGATTATCGAAAAAAGTCTTGTAAATGTTATAAACTTTGTGGATGGAAAACGTTGTTCGATTGAATATATATGTAATAATCATGGTGACCGAAGAATTATACCAATAATTTAAAAAAAAAAAAAAAAAAAAGTAATTAAGTAGGAATGCAAGCCACGTCACCATCTTCTTCCTAAATGAATTGGAAAGTTTTTTCCTTTAAATTTATAAGTTCTTCCTTTTAAAGCCTATGGGTCTCAAGTTCCATCTTTATGTCTTTATTTATTTATTTCAATTTACCAAATTCTTATCTATTAGATAATGATGGAGAGACAATTTAATGTTTTTTCATATTTATGTAAAATGGTTAAAAATATGACTGATACAAAATATATTCAATTATAATATAATTTAAGCTCAAGCTAGCCTTGACAAAACCTTCTTTATTTCATTTTTAATAATATGGCTGCTCGAACTCATATGAAATTGAATTTATGCATAGAAAATGTGAAATAGTTTTCACTACGAAACACATTTCATCTTTTGTTATAGCTATTTTGAATATAAGTCAAACTAGGCATAAACACATTATATTTAACGTAATTCGACATAATTTACCTATATTTACGAATAAGAAAAAAAATCCACTAATAATATCAACACCGATATATAAGAATATAACACTCCTGATACTAATTAACAACGCCATAAACCTAAAATCAAACTCAATACTAATTAACAAAATGGAAAAAATCTTAGGGTCTGTTTGGTTTATTATTTTGGATAAGATTTTTATATTTTTAGAGCTGGGTGGGAATAACAAGGTAAGATTTTAAAATTAACAAAAAAACTCCATAGGTTTGTTAAATAACTAAACACACCTGTAATAAAAATATTAAAATTACAAAAACACTCCCGCTCACTCATAAAATCCCGGCAGCTAGCTACCACCACGGAGGGTGGCTGGAGTCACTGTATCAATGCACAACTGGTTGAATCTGACCGGTCTTGCACCGAGATGACTTTTTCCAGCCAGATCCAACCAGATCCACTATGGATCTGGCCAAAACAAGCCAAATCTACGGTCAAATTTGGCCGTTGATGACCATATCTAGCCATGTTTGGTCGTCAACGACAACCAAAGATATGGTCATCGTTGATGACCAGTTAAGGCTAAAGATCTGGCCATCAATGGTCAGATCTTTGCCCATGGATCTAGCTGGAAAATGATAGATCGACGCACTACCAGCAAGATCCAGTCGGTAGTGCACTATTATATCAGATTCTGACCACCTTCCGATGGTGGTCGTCGGAATCTGGTAAATGTGGGTGGGTAGGGGTGTTTTTATTAATTTTTAAACTTTTTTCCTGAGAGTGTTTAATTAAATTAATAAATTTAAGAGGTCTAAAAGTAATTGAATAAAATATAATAGTATTTTCTAAATAATAAAACGAACAATTATTTTGAGAATAGGATTGGAAAATAATTAAGCAAATGGACCCTTAGTTTTTATATTCAACCCGTAGTGTTTAACCAACTCTTTTACATTACATATCTTATTTAACATATCTGTCTCTCGTAATCTTGAATTGATTTTCACTCTTTATTAATAATTAATACATGAAATATTCTACTTCTAATGGCCAGACTCGCTTTTTTATTTTTAATTATTTCTGTTTTCAATAGAAATCATACTATCTTATAACAATTTCATTCATCTTTTAATAAATTTCCTAAATGGAAACAATTTTTACTAAGAAACAATTTAATAAAACGAACCACAATATCCCAACAATTATTTTCTCATCAGGATTAAATGACATAATTTACCAACCTTTACGAATGAGAAAAAAATCCACTAATAATATCAACACCAATATATAAGAATATAACACTCTTGATACTAATTAACAACAACACCATAAACCTAATATCTAACTCAATACTAATTGACAAAAGAGTAATGCTACAGTCACTGGGAGTAGTACACCGAATGACGTGATAAAATCCTGACCGTCGATTAATATTAAGTTATAATTAAACAACAATTAGAATTTTTTCATGTCATTCGGTTCACAACTTCCGGTGTCTCTATTATTTTCCTTGATAAAATGAAAAAAATCTTAGTTTTAATATTCAACTCATAGTGTTTAACCAACTGTTTTACATTACATATCTTTCTGTTTTTATTTTTGTTTTCAATAGAACTCATATTATCTTATAATAATTTCATTCATCTTTTAATAAATTTCCTAAATGGAAACAATTTTTACAAAGAAACAATTTAATAAAACGAACCATAATATCCCAACAATTATTTTCTCATTAGGATTAAATGACATCTGCATGGCTTATTTATATTTTTGGTCTAGACTTTGTTGGCACCAGTTATATGGTTTCGCATGATCTCTTTAACAAAACTTTGATGTGGTTAACAGTCATAGTCTCGCTATTTATATTGAAAGAGCTTGACAATTGCATCCAAATTCTATAGGATTTATGACAATTTTCACCTAAGGTATCAATATATAACAATTTTCCTTTAGATATTATAAAAAACAATTTATCCCTGTTATTAGTATTTCGTTAGAGTTTTATTTTAATTTAATAGATTAAGTGTTAATGTATCAGTCAGATGATGAAAACACTAATAAAATAGTGACTATAAGAGGTAAATTGTTATTTCATGATGCCTCGGGGGGACATGTAATAAACTCTTTCTAAAAAAGAATTTTAATTTTATACAGGTAAGGCCGGGATCCATAACTCTACTTCTCAACCACTTGTAGGTTGAAGATACTACCTGCTTATGCATTTCATGTTTAGATTATATCTCACTTTAGTAATTAACATCGTGTAATGCTTTTTACTTCACTAAAAAAATAATATAATGTTGAATTTGAGCTCCAAAATAAAATTAATTAATAGCCGCTCAATTCAAAAGTTCCATTAATATTTAGCCATGATTGAAATATGAATCAAATACTAAGACAATGGCCATGTCCATGCATTAGTACAATTTGATGAACTGCTAGAATTGCTGCCCATGTTTATGTAACAAGAATGGCGTTATGATGTAATATGTCTTGTCGTTCTATAAAAGCAGAGCCCACAAGAACTGCAATTTCATCGAAACTTAAAAAAGAAAGGACAATAATAGAGACACTGAGAGTAGTACACTGAATTTGTATACCAAATGACGTGATAAAATCCTGACCATCGATTAATTATAACTTAATATTAATCGACGGTCAGGATTTCGTCACGTCATTCGGTACACAAATTTGGTGTACTACTCCCGATGACTGTAGCATTACTAAAAAAGAAATTAACATTACTCCTAACCTTTGTTTTCCCATACATCAATTAAATTCTAAGTCTCCGAGATTGAGAATGGAAGTCCTTAAACCTATCGAACTGAAATTAGATGTTGAAGACCCGATTCAAAATTGTGAGGAAGGTCTGCCCTTGAGTCCAATTGCTCGTCTGTTTATCAAGCTGACTCAAGGATCTACATCATTGTCATGATTGGCATGAAAACAAAAATGAACCCAGAAGTTATTAAAGCAAGCTTAGTGCATACTTTTCTCAAGCAGCCTCGTTTCTGTAGTTTGCAGGTAACTAACACAGCCATAAATTTGAGCCCTCGAACTATGCAGTACAAATTTGTATATCTCTTTTATTGGAAATTGTTATGTGTTAATGTTCTCATTTTTCTAAATTACTTGTGTTGGTGAAGACTAGAGTAGAAACTTTTACAGTTTTCAATACAAAAATGTTTGACCGAACTTTAGTCTTGTTGTATTTACCGGTGTTGAGTAACTGATAAAGAAATGAATTCATGTGACTTTGTATTGCTAACTTATGGCAGGTTGAAGATAAGACAGTTAAAGGGGGGCTAAAATGGTTTAATCTGAAAGAAGTGAACTTAGACAATTATCTTATAGTTCCAAATCTGGATATAAATAATATTGAATCACCTGATAAGTTTGTGGAAGATTACGTCTCCAACCTGAGCAAAACTGGAATTAAAATGCCACTGCCAATGTGGGATATCCATCTCCTCAACCTGAAAACCACTGGTGCTGAATCCGTCACTGTTTTTCGAGTCCACCACTCCCTCGGTGATGGAATTTCGCTTATGTCTCTTTTCGTTGCTTGTACTCGTAAGATTTCTAACCCAAACGAACCTCCCACCATTCCAATGGTTAAGAAAGTAAATCCCAGCAAATCTTCTGAAGGGTTTTGGGGAAAATTCATCAAATTATGGTTGGCTATCTTGCTCTTTTGGAACACTCTTGTAGATGTTTCCATGTTTATTGCTACCTCATTATCTCTCTTAAATGATACTAAAACGCCCCTTAAGGGTCCCTTGAGCCAATCTCGGCGATTTGTTCGTAGATCAGTGAGTTTGGATGATGTCAAGCTCGTAAAGAACACAATAAATACTGCAAGTTGCTTATGAAATTATAACATGCAATAAGTGATTTTGATTAATCATTTAACATATAGGTTAGATGTATCAAGTCAAACTTGTGACAATAGGTTTTTTAAAATGTTATAAATTTATTAATTAAGATATGATTGCCTTTAATTAAGAGTACTTAATTGATTTTAAACTTGTCTATTTATTAAGAGTACTTAATTGATTTTAAATTTGTTTATTTATTAAAGCATGTTCAGAAATGTTTCTACCCATATTAATTGGCATAAAAGACTAATAGTAATCCTCTCTAATTTTATTTTTTCCTGTATTTGCAGACAATCAATGATGTTATGCTAGCAGTCACTGAAGCAGGCTTATCTCGTTATCTCAATCGAAAATATGGTGTGCTTGTAACCTGAAATCTGGTTTCTATTTTATTAAAGCTATACACATATATAGTCTAAATTAACAAAAAAGAGTCAATTCCACACCTAATTTATAATTAAAGAAACATTACAGGGTGTGAAACAATGGCAAAGGTTCAGAGAACACAAAGAGAAAGATAAGAGAAATTGAATTTTGCTTCTTTATGATTCTTTTATAGAACAATTTTACAAGAGGGAATAACTTTCCCTTTTATACAATTTGAGATAACCAACAACAAACTGCATTCTCTTTTGTGAAATAAAGATGACCGAACTTCGGCAAAACGACATCACTTTGGCCAAAGTTAAATTTGCTCCTGCTACTCAGCTTCTTTGCATTCTCATCCCTTTTTACCAACACTTCCCCTTAAACCAAACTGGGAAGCTTCAATTCATTACCAACATTTCCTTTCAAACCAAACTGGGAAGTTTCAGTACATTACCAACACTTCTCCTCAAACCAAATTGGAAGCTTTAGTACATTATCAACACTTCACCTCAAATCAAACTGGGAAGCTTCAGTACATTGCTGTCAACATAGTTGAGTCTGTAACATTTGATCACGCAGCAACTGAACAAATTATGACTGTAAGCTAAACCGAACTTGTAGAATAAGAGGAGCAAGTCTGTAATCTTTAATCACAAATAAACTGAGTCAAATTGTGACAATAATCTAGACTGCAATACAAAGCAGTCTAAACATATAAAACACAAGGTTACTGAACACAAATTATGACTATAATATGGCTGCATTCTGTATGATTGTAATCTGATTGTATTATGAACAAGTGAACTGAAGTAGGAATTAATCAAAAGCTCTAAACTGATCCATCGACTAATCAACTGATATAGTAATTGAACTGACTGAATACCAACATAAGTAGCAAGTAGCAAGTAGCAGACACTAATAAGCTCTGAACTGATCAATCAACCAATCAACTCATATAACAATTGAACTAATTGTATTCTAAACAAGTGAATTGAAGTAGCAATTAATCAACTTATATAACAATTGAACTAAGTGAACACCAGGATGAGCAACAAGTAGCAGACACTAGTATGCAGATTTGAAGTATACATGTGGAGGAACATAATAAACTACACTTAACTTTTGTCTTAACTCAGCAAATTAGGCAGCATATAGTGGTTTGGTCAAAAGATCAGCTATTTGCAATTTGGAAGGGACATACTGAACACTAATCTTTTTAGCTAATACTTGCTCTTCTATATAATGTGTGTCAATCTCAATATGTTTTGTTCTTGCAGGAAACACGGGATTGGCTGCTAGAGCACCTGCACTAACATTGTCACACCAAATGATTGCAGTATGAGGAAGTGTAATCCCTAACTCAATGAACATACTTTGAAGCCATGCCATTTTAGTGGCAGTGTGAGCTAAGGCTCTATGTTTAGCTTCAGTGGAAGAGAGCCACCACCTTCTGTTTCCTAGAGCTCCACTGAATCAAATTTAGACCAAGGTAGGCGCAATAGCCACTAGTTGATCATCTATTGTCCAAGTTACTTCCCCAGTCAGCTTCGGTATAGCACTCAACATGAAGAGTACTCGCTGGTATGAATTAAAGCCCATAGGATAAAATACCTTTGATATATTTGAAAGATTTGTTAATTGAAAGAAAACAAGAAACAAATTTGACTTCAATTACTATATTCAATTGAGTTAATGAATCAATGAATTACAATGAGGGTTTTGCAGCTATTTGTGTCTCTCTTAAAGTTGACACAAAACAACTATGTTTTGTTGTTACTTAGCTAAATATCAACTAAGTCCTCATCTTCTAAATTCTGACACTTTAATCCACATGCCCACTCAAAATGAACTCCCTAGTCCATATTTCTGAGTCCTGGCACTTTAATCCACATGCCCACTCAAACATGAATCTCCTTCAAGATAAAAACTTCAGCAGTAGCAGGAGGTCATGTTTTCACCAACTTCAGCAAATTACATTCTTCATATAATTCAGTCATAAACCACAAAACTGCAAACTATAAAACTGCAAATAGCAGTTTTTCACCATATTACATTCATCAGTGCTCCACTGCAATTGCAATCTCCTTCAAAATAAAAACTTTAGTAGCCGCAGGTCATGTTTTCACCAACTTCAGCAGATTACATTCTTCATATAATTCAATCATAAACCACTAAACTGCAAACTATAAAACTGTAAATAGCAGTTTTTCACCAGATTACATTCATCAGTACTCCACTGTCAATGTAGTCCACAAAGCTGTAAACTGTAAGACTGCAAACACCATTGTACTACCAGAAAACTGCGCCACTATAAACTGTAAGAGGCTGTAAACTGTAAGGCTGCAAACACCATTGTACTACCAGAAAACTGCACCACCAAGACTGTAGAAGATAGCATTTCACCAGAAATCACAAAACTGCCAACAGATTTCACCACCAAAACACTTTACCAACTCACTATTTCACAAACAAATCATCACACAAAACTTGCAGTTTACACAATAATCTCCAAAAATCATAAAAACTTCATAAAACTACTGACAGATTCCACAATCAACATGACAGATTCCACAATCAACATGCAGTTTACACAACAACCTCCAGCATATACTAATTCACCATTTGCCGACAGATTCCACAATCAACCTGCAGTTTACACAACAACCTCCAGCATATACTAATTCACCATTTTCCAAATGAATCAACACACACAACAACCTTCAGCTTACACAACAACTTTCAGCATTGGCATAGAAAGTTCAACACACAAAAAATCTTTTCAACATCAGTATTCCCACACACACAGTCCATAATCCATAAAACTACATGGCAGTCACCATCGAAGCATAACACTTCTAATCATAAGAACAACAGTTTATCAATCAATCAGTAAGCACCATATTAGAGCGCTGCAGATTGCCATCAAACTGAAGCAGAAAAGAGCACTACAGATTGTCATCAAACTGGAGCAGAAAAGAACATAACTTTTGACATTGCAAGTACCACCACATCTGAACACTTTAGATAACCTTTTAATTGGAAAAGTGCAGATCAACAACATTAAGTTTAGCCTTTAACTTAAGAAACTGAGCAATGGAGAGAGCTTTTGTCAAGACATCTGCAATTTGCAGCTTAGTAGGTACATATTGAACAAGAAGCTGCTTGGCTAAAACTTAATCTCTTATGTAATGGGCATCTATTTCAATATGTTTAGTTCTAGCATGAAATACAAGATTAGATGTTATGGCTCCTACACTAAGATTTTCACACCATATGACAGGGGACTTTGGCAAACTTAAGTCTAATTCTGAGAAAAGGCTTTTTAACCAGGAGACTTTAGTTGCTGTATTGGCTAGAGCTCTGTATTCAGCTTCAGTTGATGACAAAGCAACAACCCTTTGCTTTCTAGAACTCCATTGAATCAAATTTGGACCCAAGAAAATGCAGAATCCACTAGTTGACCTCTTATCATCAATGTTACTTCCCCAATCTGCATCAGCATAGCATTCAACACTCATTGATGCTGTTGGTCTAAATTGAATACCATGATTTGAAGTCCCTTTGAGATATCTAAGGACTCTTTTACAAGTTTGCCATTGAATTTTTGTAGGAGCTTGCAAATATTGACTAAGTTTGTTAATAACAAAGCTTATATCAGGTCTAGTGAGTGTAAGATATTGTAAGGCACTAACTGTGCTTCTATACAAAGTAGGATCTTAAAAGCATGCACTGTCTCCAGAAAACAGTTTGGTACCAACAACAAGAGGTGTTGGACAGGGGTGTGCATTAGCCATTCTTGTTTTAGCAAGTAAGTCAAGAATATATTTGGTTTGTTTGAGATGCAAACATTGATCAGTTCGAGTGGCCTCTATTCCAAGAAAGTAGTGGATTGATCCTAAAACTTTTAAAGAGAATTGATCATCAAGATCTCTAACCAATGTATGAATAAACTCCTTGTTACCTCCAGTAATCAGAATGTCATCTACATAGATGAGAAGATAAATCATTTGGCTTCCTTCTTGAAAAATAAACAAGCTGGAGTCTGCCACTGAGTTTCTAAATCCTTTATCAACCAAAGCAGCCTTTAATTTGTCAAACCATGCCCTAGGAGCTTGTTCAAGCCCATACAAAGCCTTTTTCCAATTTACAAACATGTCTAGGAAATTCAGAAAGCTCAAAACCCTCTGGTTGTTTCATAAACACTTTCTCGTTTAGAGTACCATTCAGAAAAGTATTGTTTATGTCAATTTGTTGAATATCCCATCCATTAGTGATAGCTAAAGTAATAATTATGCGAATGGTGGATGGCTTAACTACTGGGCTAAAGGTCTCGAAGTAGTCAAGACCTAGAGTTTGTTGAAAACCCTTTGCCACTAGCCTAGCTTTGTACTTTTGGAGGGAGCCATCTGGGTTATATTTAATCCTAAAAACCCATTTATTTCCTACTATGTTCATATTATCAGTAGGAGGTACAAGAGACCAGGTTTTATTCTTGAGTAGAGTAGTAAATTCACTCTCCATTGCAGCCTGCCATTCAGCAGTACTTAATGCTTCTTTAACAGACCTTGGTTCAGCAACAACTAAAGAGATGGATGGGCTGACAAGTGAGCTGGAGGTAAGAATGGTTTTAGGCTGAGGAAGACAATTAGACTTGGTTCTAGTCACCATTGAATGAGTGTTTTGAGTGATTTTTGGAATATTAAGTGCAATAGACTGTTGTGATGGATCATGAACAACTTCAGGAATACAGTTGTTTGTAGATTGAGAGGACAACATTGGGTAAGAGGTAAAATCTACAACTAAGGGACAAAATGATGCTGATTTCTGTAATGCGGCTGATGAATCAGTGTGTTGAGGTGAAATTTTTGTTTCTGAGGATGCAGAATGTGAGGTCAAATGATTTTCACCAATTATTGAGCATGGACTGTTATGACCATAGGATACTGTAGCAGGTACACTTCCATCAGTAGGATTTGTATCAGAAGACCTTGATGATTTGACAGAC